TCTTTAGGATGTATATGAATATGTATAACATCTCAACATTACATGATCTGTGAATGAGAAAGTTGTTATTATTTGACTGTTACCATTCTTATGTTATTATCAATTGCCAGTTATTTTCTTTCGTGCAAATAAGTAAATTTAATCGTTAAAATTTTTCTTGCCATGAGATTCATCTGCAATGGATATTGAGCGAGTACTAACAATTGATTTGATTTGACATTTTCATGTTGAGATGTTACATAGTTTAGAAGTAATGTTGTACATACGAGATAGGTACCTTGACAGACAAGATGCACTTGTACCCGTCATATCGCTATAATAATGATAAAAAAAAGTACACATATAGTAAAAAATATAAAAAAAAAGAACGTTAAATATACAATAATGGATGGTTATGAACATTTACTACCGATTATAAGGAATGATAAGCTTTAAATATTAGAAGTAAGCATTTTTACAACGTTCTTTAGATATAATAACGACATATTTATCGTTATAAGCGCATGCTAATATCGATGTGAGATGTACGAGTGCCTCGAACAAGCAGATAATTATACATTTTCAAAGATTGACATTTTGCAAACGTTCGGGTCTTACTTTACGAAAAACAAGATCTAACGGCAACAATAATAATTTTTCATTAGTGAAAATCTATAGGTAGGGATAAATCGATATGTGTTTATGATTAGTCATTTTCTCCGTATGTCTCACAAGTTAGTGTTTTAAGTAAAATATCTTAAAAAAGGCAGCTTGCTCCTTTCTGCGTTACAGTTTGGTATGATTTATCAGTACGAAGGAAAACAAAATTTCTTCAGTTTTATTAATTAGAATTTATGTTTTAGAATTTAATTTTCGGAAACTTATTTCTCCAATGAACGTTCTAGCCGTTAATTTTTAAAATGAAGATTCTAAAAGAGAAAGAAAATAGAAAAAAAAAGAAGGGAAGAAAGATTAATCGAAGGTTGCACCAATTGTTTCTTTTTTAGGATTAATAACTGCAAAAGCAATTTTGTTGCACGTATCTTTCCAAAGAAGTCTAGTTTACGTAGTAATTTGTGGCTTTTAAATTTTCAAGATTTCTTAATTGGAAAAGTCCGTATGTGATAAAAGTAACTATTTATTTATTCGTGTGAATATGAAATTTAAATTATTGGCAGATATCGTACTTCTCTTTATCTAATCTGATCGAAAGGAGCTATATACTTCTGCTAATGCATTAACCATATACATACGTGTAAACGATTTCAGTTGCAGTTTAAACGGTATATACATAGGTTTTCTTGGGTCTTAAACAATATGATACACGTAACAATGATAAATTGTATAATAGATTATACACGTATCCATGTGTGACCTGTAATGATAAATCAATATTTTATACAAATTGATAAGACACAATAAATGAATTTTATAGTCGACCTGTATGCATTTTATCTGAAAACCTGCTTCGCAACACTTGCAGACATTTCGCGAGTGATTTTGATTTTCTCCATTTCTATTTTTAAAAGCAAAGTTGTGGTCGTTTTCGAAAAATCGTTCAACTACAATTATTATATCGTTCATGCACAAAGATTACAGCGGTAATGTTATCAAAATTCAATTCGTATTTATATTTTATACTTATAAATTATTTCATTTGATCTTTTTTTTATTTAATTGATTTTAAACAACGACAGAATCCTCTCTCGCAAAAATGTAGGTTTGCCAGCGTCTTTACTTTTCATTTCGTCTTAAAACATCGATTTTGAAACGCGAAAACAATTCTTTCCGTATTAATATCTATCATTTATAACAGCGAGTATCTATTTTTAGCTACGATGCTCCATAAATACGTTTTCGTGTAAAGCCGTAATCGCGTACGCGTCTTATTTGAGACATTATCCACGCTTATTGGATCGAAATCAGAGAGATACGCGTTCAATTATATTTGAAATTGTATATTCCCAAAGAAACTTGTATCAAAATACGATGCCCGCTCTTCGACGTCAGGGGATGCGCGCCATATTCTGCTTCTTATAGCACGTGTAATCGATACACGAAATCCAAAGAGTTATGTATTTATTATTCACATTCTATTTTTCGTCGAACAAACGTAGAGAAAAAAAATGCTATACGTATGATGTACGTGTTATGAAACAAATCATCGAATTAAATCGTACGTGTATTTGTAGGAAATTCGAGCGTGCAAAAGTGCATAAAATATGCAAAGTAAAATTCTCGTTATAACATTTATCATACGAGGCAAAACTTTATTTAGATTCTATTTTTCTGGACGTGCTCGGTAGAATATAAATTAAAATATAAAAAAAGCACATACGGACATCTGTTTTTTTTTTTTTTTTCAGCAATGACCGGAAAGAAAGGCTGGTAATTATTAAATCTATATTGTTATCTATATTATCGAAAATTATTAAAATTTTCTTTAAGATCAAACAGAAACGTCGTTTCTCATTTATTTCAAAGTACTATAATAATCTTTAGCATGAATAGAAGTTTCGAAGCTATTAACTGACTTACTTTTAATAAAGAAACATAATGAAACTTATGAAACTAATTATCTTTGTATTTATGAAGGGAGTATAAGTTTCAGAAATATCTATCCCGAAAAAGCGAAGGGCCTAATAAATCTAAATTAAAATATTCACATTTTTCTTTGTTTCGTCCAACACCTGTTTGCAACGCCAAATATTTTGTTACAACATGTCTGTGGCAGTGTCAAATATTAGAAATTTATCGATATTTCGTGAACTCAGTTTTCAATACTGAACAATAAAGTTATCAGGATAAATACCATAAAAATGTCGATATTTTTAATATGCTATCGTATCTGTATCAAGCTGTGATCTTTATTATTAAATCATGACTTGGCCAATCGGTTATTAAACGACTAAGGAAAGCGATAAGTAGTTTAATTACTTGGCTTATAATGGCTGTACTCGGAAAAAGAGTAACGTCACGTTAGTGGGAAATGCTCGAGAATTTGTAAAACGAAGAAGCCCGTTTTATAAAAATGTTAATGCGTGTGGCAATCGAATATCGTCGAACAATATCGTTAAAATTATCGTTAAATAAAGAGAAAGAAAAAGGATCGAAGAAAAGTGTAAAGTGTTATATAAAAAGTATCATTTTTGATAGAGTGATTTAAGGCTTAAGGAGAGAAAGGGTATTTTCCACTGTTTTTAAAACAATATGACACTATATCCGGGCACTGCATCGATCCATACAGTTTTACACAGGTCAACATCGGCGTAGCGCAATTTTTTTTTTGCAATCGCACACTTCCTTTTTTGGTAACACTTTTTTTTCGTCCACATTCTGTGACTTTTCAACGCCTAACGTATTTTCACTCTCTCGTTTCTTTCGTATTTATGCAGCGTGATATCTTCATTTCAACGAGGGATTTATAAAATCGTTTAAATTACTCTGACATAAAGATACATAGAATAAACAATTTAAAAAGTGAAAAAATAGGTACGATTTATACAGGCCAGTTCGAGGAAAGATATACCGTGACTGTATAAACTGCTATATGCTTTTGGATCAGAGTTTCAGAGGGATATTGCATAAAATTCGTTCGTTTTCAAGTTACTTCTTTGTTTATTATTTTACCAAGAGAATGTTCGGTTCGTGCTCTTTTCCATTAATAGTCATTAAACAACTTGATGTTCATTTGTTTATTCGATATTAATTTTGGCGAATTCTCTGTTTATTCGGATATGAAACATAATTAAATAAAATAGTAATCTTCGATAATTAATGCAAATTTTACATTATTACAATTATTCCGTTACGTCAGATTTAGTACACGTTTGATAAATGCGACTGAGTATCGTTATACGATATTAAACTAAATTTCAGTAGGATTTAAATTTGACACGGTGTTTAATAGCTGACTTAAACGGTGCATTATAATTAATGGTTTATTATACGCTTTGTACAGAATTCTTTGGATGTATTTTATTAAAAATGTTATTCCATCGTAGTTTGACGTTTTCAATGTTTCAAAAATCGAACATGAACTTTGTGATAAAAAGTAAAAATAAGGATACTTTAAAACAGTATTTTTTAAATGAAAATTATCATCCGCATTTTCACGTCCTTTACACGTTTCCGCACAGATAGCTGCGTTGCATACATCGAAATTCCGGCGCACGAAGATAAAAACGGACCAAAAAATTTCCACGAAAGATTACGTTTTCATGCCTGTTAATTATACAACCATTTCACCGCGATTCCCTTCCCTTTACCATCTATTCCCCTTTTCCCTTAAAGGAGCATCAGAAGCTAATTTCAGACAGTTTCAAACCCCAAGCGAACTGGAAAATAAAACCGCGAAAAGTTACCGACAGCTTTCGCATTTCCCCTCGGAACAACCTCGGTATACCTATCCTGCACAGTTCCTCAAATAAAGTCACAGAAGGTCTTTGTCCTCGATTCAATTATCAAGTGTCGCTGACAATGCGACTCGCTACAATGTGTCCGCTTCTTCGACGAGGGAATCAATGAGCTATTCATCGGCGGATAAAAAAAAAACACGCGAAATAAAAATAAACAGGACTAAAAATAAAAAGAAAGGCGAAAGAGAAGTCAAAAGTGCCAATAAAGTTTCCGCAGGAAGTTTTTCCTCGTTCGAGCAACCGAGTCATCGCGTTTTCCCGTCGACACGCAATAATCCACGGGCATATTAACCGAGTCGTAGTTAAAAAATCACGTCGTGTCTCTTTCTTTTTTCTTCGTCTCGATTTAGCTCCCCCTCTTTCTAGTCTCTTCTCTCTCTCTCTCTCTCTCTCACTCTCTTTTTTTTTTATCCGTTTTTCCTTTTCAAAGTGGTCCATCGGAGGAGGACGAGGTGTACACGGTACAGGAGATCTACGCATATTGCGTGATCCACCAACAGAAATTCTCAGCGATGGTGTGTGTACAGCGTGTACCATCGGGTGTAGGTGTGCTCTATGGGGGATGGAACGCCTGCGCGGGGTGAAATGTACCCTATATAAGGAAGCGGCCGCGTACATAGCCGGTATTCAGATTTGGCGAACCGCGTTGGAAGGACACTGTGACAAAGTTTACGAAATGGGTCTGACCGGAAACCACCTTGTCAGCCTCTTGCTCTACATCTTCGTCGTCAACGAGATCCGTCTTCCTTTGGTGAGTTTATGATTTTTCCTCTTTCCACTCCGTGCCATTCGGTCGTTTCGTCGCAAAGTACTTACTTAAGGTACTTAGCGGGCAATTTTTCTTTTTGTACGTGTTTAGCGTCAGGTGGCGAGCAAAGTTGCGAGAAATTGAGAGAAAGACGAAGTCGCTGTAAAGTTACTGGGATTTCGTTACGAACGGAATATGTAGAGTCGTTGGTAGCTTCTTTGGTATTCTCGTTCGTTAGTTTGTCCACGATGGGGTTTGTAATCGTTCGAGCGTGGTTCAATCGAACGAAGATCGTAAAGTAACGCAAATGTGTTCAGTTAAAAAATGGCAATAAACGTAACCATGGGTTTGTTGGATTTTAAAGTGGATCTTTTACGCGATATTTTGATGGCTAGCAATTTTCTAATTTTTCAATTTCTTAAGGTAACGTATCCTTTCAGACTCAGAAAGGAATACCTTAAGCTGATTGCGTGCTGCGATTTTTATTTGTGGAGTAAAAAATTTCATTTACGCAAGGGGCTTTCATATTTTTCTTGTAAAATTTAATAAAACATATTTTCACTTTTTTCTTCTATAGGATACAATGACATAGTTTCAACATTCTTGTTGCATTTTGCTACTTTATTAATGTAGTAGTAACATTACGGGAATAAACAAATTTTTAGAATTATTACGATTCAGGAAAAATCAAATTCTGTAGAAATATGCTGGGAAAAGAATTTGGTAGAAGTAACATAATCGTTAAGAGCGAATAATATTTAACGAACTACAACGTTAAACGAAAATTTAAAAGATCGCAAAAAACTATATTTCAAAATATTCAATAGAATTTAATAATTCTTCGAATATCGGACATTAGTGGAAAAGATTCGCTAAAATAACAATTTTTACTTGTAAAATAAATGATCAATATGTACGTTAATATACATTTATTTAATTTTGTATTAAATTAATTCAGAAGTTTACATACTTTCAAGAAATTTGTTATTTTTATGCAACACAATTTTTCCAATGTTTTTGAGTTACATCTTTTATACAAATATATCTTTTATAGAAATTAATAACAAAGAGAAAGAAATAATTATTCAGATGATTCGGAAACGTTGAAATTAACGAGCGTACAGAACACGAGAACTTCTTCATAGAGTACCAGTGCTTATTAAAAATTTTAGATCGCTTGAAATTTGATGGTTGGGTAATTAACGCTCTCAAAATGCGATCCCAATTTCGCAACAAAGGGAATATCTTGATCAAATGGATTAGCGCTCGAAATACGGAACTATAGAGATCGAATCGCATGTTCTGCTAATAATTAAATTCCGTAGTTGAAAATTGGTAATCTTATTCCGACTTGTCCGCGTGAACGATTTCCTTCTTGCCACAGCGATCGATTAAAGAATTTTTCATCTTTAATTGAAATTATATTATATCTGGTTGATTAGATGGTTCACCATTTGGGAAGAAATCGCAGAAACTTGATAGTAATCATTCCTCATGATTATGATGGCAAGCATATACATAGTTAACATGTCAATTGATACACTATAACATTGATACGGGGGTTAAGATGATTGATATCGACTATAATAGATTATTATTACGTTGATAGATTGTGAATCGCAATACAGTTCACTGATTCACGACTGTTCTAATTGCAGCATATAAATCTAGCAATAACTGCACTTTCAAAATCTATACGATTCCTAAATAATTCTAACACATTCTTATAATATTAATTTAACGCCTAATTAAAATCATGCGACATATTTTTCTACGAAAATAGTCCAAACGTCATGGGAAAAATATTATATTGGATTGGCAACAGTAAGCGAGTATGGAAATCTTTTAATAAATCGATCGATTCTTTGGTGATAGAATGCTTGATAACCGTACGTCATAATTGGCATTATAAGATTCATTGAATATTCGGAATATCATTTCCTTAAAAAGCTTCATTAATTAGTGCGTTTCTTTGCCGAAGGGTTTAATTCGCAAGTTTTTCTGTGATCCGATCTGAGTAATAAAAGGCACGTTTCAAGGGAGGTAAAACGATGGATAACACGGATAAAGTATAGAGATTCATTTCACTCGAGAAATTACAAGTAATCTTTGACGTGTCCTAAAAATTTCTTTAATTATTCTAATTAAAAGATTAATTCATTTTAGAAATATAGAAACATACATTCGATGAGAACACCGAACGATTCAATTGCATAAACATTTGTTGCAATTTTTCTTATAACTGATTCGATATAAAACGTTGAGTATCGTATATCATATACATGTATCATATAAATGTGCAATTTTTTCCGCAAATATTTATGTTGCCTTCTCCTTATATATGAATCTAACCCTCGTTTCCTTGTGTCAATTTGACGTGTTCTGATAAATGGGAGAAACCAATAATGCTACGTACATATCTTTATCTTATTCATGAACGATACGAACATCTTATTCATGAACGATACCAACAGTCTTATTCTTCGATATACGGAAATTTGATTTCAAATAAAAAATACGTAAATTAAATACTATCTATTCTCCATTATATTATCTTTTCTTGCCATTGAGTTAATTTAACATGAAAGAAGAAATCAATAATTCGTAAATACGAAATCAGTAGTTCGTTGTATCAATAAAATACAATCGGTCAGCAGATATGGAAGTAAAAATCGGTTTTAAAAATCTACTACTTTCTTCGAGATTAAATTATAACAGATCATGCAATACGTTTTTAATTAAAATCTATGTCATCTATACGACGAAAAAGAAGGGACAAATATTAGCTACACGTGTGAAAGAAAACAGATAGAAGCGTGGTACCTATCGTCCGAAAAATCCACGGTTTTTAATCATCGTCAGAATCATTTATTCGATGCTCGAGGGCGTAAATCATGACCATCGATGTTTGGATGGTGTACAATAAAGATCACGTAACTAAACCGATCGATCATAAAGAATATGAATTATAGATATTGCGCGATATTTTTATGCGATCTTTTACTAAATAACGAGTAGTATACTTGTTGAAGGATGCACGTGCTTTCAATGAAATAATTATTTACGATAGAAAGGAAATTATATAAAGTATTTTGAATTTTTAAACTGTACGCTCCTTCTATCAATCTTTCTACGACGCTACATCGATACTTTGTTAATTTGAGATAATGTATAAGTTCGTGTAGTCAGAATTCGAATGAAACTTACAATTTTACATAAAATTAATTAAGATACTATACTCGGACTTTTTCTTCTCTTTGCGTAAGAAGTTACACCGCGACAAGTTCTCGAACACGTATCTAAAACTTTAACATCGTGTTAAGTAAAAAGTTTCATAAATTTGAACAAATCGCTTACGACGAGACTGTTCTTCGACGCTTCGGTCGGTATCCTCGAAAACAAAGTCTCGTAGTTAAAAATTGCCATTTCCAATTTACTTTCCCACGAACAATTCTATCCATTTTCGCATATAAATAATTTCTAATATACCCTGTGTCTAGAATACCTATTTTTATTCATGGACATAAGAAAAGAAGACTTTTCTAAAGACGTGATGTAACACGCGTATAATTTCACTGTGATTACGAGATAAAAAGAAATAGTAAAAAGCTATCGATTTCTTACACAATGGTCCATTCGAGAACGCCATTGTTCTTTACTCTAGGCAATTCCCAACTCTATTCATCGTCAAGTTTTATTTGTCACAAAGTAGCGAAATTTTCCCAAGATCGCGACAACTTTCTCGATGCAGCAAGTTTTTTAATTTTACCGTGCAAATTTGTATAGAACGTCGATACTGTCGCTGATTCGTCTTAAAGTTCTCTAAGGCCATCGGCAAGCATCTTTATTTCTGCATCATCTTGTTCTTCATGTCCAATTTATCCTTTACCTGTACCTTTTCTCTCAGAGTTGTTTACTTTCTCTTCTATCGATTCTTTCATATTAACTGATATCAATAGTATCAAAGAAAAGATCATCCTCTAGAGAACATTATTTTTAACCTTTGTAACAGAGTCTCGTTGCTATTTCAAAATTATTTACCTTCTTGTTATTATTTTCTTACTGTACGCCAAATAATCAATTCAGTAAAAATGTGCTTCCGTGGTAATGTATTATATTCATTGCGCAATTAATAGGAAAAATAGCGTAAATAGGTATCGTTCGAGGTAGTTTTACTATCGTTCTTGCTCGTTTTACGCGTCGAGCAGGGGCAATTGCCAGCAAGGAAACGCGTTATCCTTGCAGGAAATTTAATTAGTTTTCGAGAGTGGTTATTCATTGTCTCTTTTATTCACCGCGACCTGTGGATGACACGCGCCCAACTTCATTTACATTCCGAATATCCTTTGGAAATAAACCGGGACGTGTTCACTAGTCATTCGATCATTAGCTGAATCTGGTTTTCATTATATTTTCTACTATTTCATAGTTGCCATCTCATGTTTAACAAACGTTCTGTTGAATCGTGTGTCGTGGATTGATTTTAATTGAGTAATCTTATTGGTTTCGAGACACGAACGACATTATAATTCGATGGAAAAATTACTGTATAACGAAACGATAGATCTGTTCGACATTGTGGACAAAAAGTTAGTGAAACGAAGTTCTGCTTTTGAGAAGATCGAACTCGATAAAGATGTATGTTTTTCAAAGTTAAAGTATGTTTTTTAAAGTTAAATGAAAGAATCAACAATTAAAATGATATATTTCGTCCAATTTCTTAAATTTTCGAATAGAAAACACCAAATGCTCGTTTACTTTTCTCACAGAGATCAATTAGTTTTGTCGTAAAGATACTCGCAATACGAAAGATTAAGCGAAACAGAATATTCTTTTCTTCGAGTTTCTCAAAATTCTCAAACCTCTTCTTGCAAACTTTTCGTGGTATCTACCAGCAAATATTCAGGTGGTATAAATACGTAGTTACTACCGACCGACATTTCACGACACACAATCCAGAACATTTGGCATTCGCACGGGAAATGGTAAAGCGTACGAAGTTT